GAAAGAAACTGCAAATTAAGTTGGCGAGTTTTATTTAACAATCCAGAGATCGTACCCGAAGGATTTGGAAAATAATCGAGGTTGATTTAGTAAAATCGTAACAATATATATGTACAGTGGCTAAATAAAGAACTGTTATTAACAGGCAACTTAAAGCCAGATTTTTTTAAACCAATTGTAATTAAGCTTTTTTGGTTTTTATATTTCTATAAGGATTTAAAAATACCAATAACCCTTACTTCAAAATATTAACATGTGGCATGCTAGAAATTTCGCCAAAAAGATGTCGGACGTCTGGTAATATTACAGTCGTTTGGCATTTTAAAAAGGGGAATCCCACAATTAGTATGTTTTCGTTTAAAAAACATATATATGTATATAATCAAACGTAATAGCTTAGAATAAAATCTCAGAATTTTTTTTTTTTTTTTTAAAAAGGTGAAAAGTTCAATTATGGGTAGATACCGAAGTTGTTTTCGGATGCAAATGAGCGGTGGATAGTGGAGCAAATCAAAAAAAAAACCAAACATGGGCGCTCCCAAGCTCTCAACAGAAGTTTTGCAACATCTCAATATAAATTGTAATCCGGAGTATCCGAATAGTCTTACGAAAAAACAATTATAATGGAAGAGTAGCATGGAAGAAATCATTTATAAACGAGGTTAACCGAAACAAAAGGATAAAATTTGCAAAATGTCATGGCGATAGGGATTTTCAATTCTGGAAACAAGCTTTATTTGCAGATGAAAGCAAATTCAATATATTTAGGTCAGATGAACAGTCTTATGTTTGGAAAAAACCGAATGAAGAGTTGCTAGAAAAGAATTTACGTCCGACTGTTAAACACGGGGCGGCTTTGCAATGGTATGGGGTTGTATGTCTGCAGCTGGTACTGGAAATTTGTGCTTCATAAATGGTAATATGGACCACAAGCAATATCTGAACATTTTAAAAGAAAATTTACTGCAAAGTGCGAAAAATGTGGGAATTAAAGACAGTTTTCAGTACTACCAAGGCAACGATCCCAAGCATAAAGCACTTGATGTGCGTCTATGGTTGAAAAATAACTGTCCTAAAGTGCTTGAAACACCTCCTCAATCTCCCGACATTAACGTAATTGAACATCTGTGGGTTCGTATGGAAAATAAATTGAAAATGCATGTTATTAAAAATAAGAAAGACCTAAAAGTCGCTATTTTGGAAGAGTGAGGGAAAATAAATTCTTTAACATTCAAGAAGCTAGTTGAATCTTTGCCAAGAAGACTGAATGCCATGAGAAAAAGTAAAGGCTTGACGACCAAATATAAAGAATATTTTGTTTCTCTTTAAATAATATTTTTAAATTCAATCTTATATATATGTCCGAGTTATTTTTTGTCATCAGTTTTGTTAAGTTATTATGTTCATATTATTTTTATACGACAGAGTTGAATATATATATATTGAATAGAAATATATGTTAAACAGAAAGTCCTTGATTTGCATTTTATTATATATTTTTTTGTTTGAAGTCATGTAACTTGGGTGTCCGAGTTCATTTTTGAGCAACTGTACATGAATATCTATGCCGCCCATTAACTCCGAAACTGCTGAGCCAATTTTGTTCAGATTCTCAGTGTAGCTTCATTGAAACCCGGAGAGTGTTCATGTTAGAAAAGTGTAAATCCGAAAAGTTTTATTTATTGCTCGATTTACTTGAAATTTGGTACACAGGTGCCTAAGTTAAGATGAGGACCACTTTTCTTTCGAGGAAGTGGGAAGGTTACCAGATTCGGTCTGTTAAGAAAATCATATTTATAGTTAGATAAAAAACGAAATTTGAGACAAATATTTTCAGGATTAGTATGTTGTTTGGCGATTTGAGTAATTCTACACATGACATTTAACTATCGAATTTTATTTGTCAGTAGACTGAAATGTTCTTATCGAAAACATAAATATTGGCTCTAAGGAGGACAAAACCTGAAAAAAGTACGTCAGCTGTTTTATCGAAAATACCGACTATGACGGAACTACGCTACTGATACTTAAAACAATCACCTAAGAGCAGTGCACAACCATTTTTGTTTTTGGAAGGATTCATTGGAGATTTTTCGGAGATGGATTTCAATGTTATTTAATTAATTTTTTGTTATAAGACGCAGAATAATAAAATTTACCATCATAATTGCATATGTAGATATCTACAAGTATATTTATAGAGTTTGAATTTTCAGAAATGGAAGAGACTCGGTAATTATTTTACTTATACAAATGTGTATGTATGTATGTTTAAAGTCGATAAGGCACAATTTGTTAAAGAACAACAAACAATTCTTTTACTTTTTATGTACATGTTAATGTATGTATGTATGTGTGAATGCGCAATAAAGTATAACCATTCTAAAATTACGAATACATGAAGGCAAAGCAAAGTGTACACATACCAAAAAAAAATATGTACGGGTATGTACATATGTATTTTCGATTTCTTTACTTTATTAGCACACCATTTCTTTTAGACTCTGTTTTGGTTTGGTAAAAAACACAAACGGAACGTTGTATTTATTATATTTCGGCGTCGACGCAGAAAGCCGGTTGAAACCAGTTTAAGCTTTTTGCAACTTGGAGCCGAGGTATGTACAATACATGTGGGTTAAATATATAATTGAATTATTAAATCAAATAATTGATATGTATGCGTACAAAGCAGTTAAATACTAATTCAATTGTTTTAATAATTCTTTTGAAAACAAGCAAATTTGTATGTAGGTACTACAAGTATATTGTTTATTTGACTTTGCAACACCAAATTATACTCGATTTTGTAAAGATATATATGTACATGTACATATGTGAGCTTATGAATATGTATTCGAAATTTTTGCGAATTTTATCACGAGGCTAAAAGCTTAGAGTGAAGAATTTTGTTAGGACTAAAAATATATATTGCAAAGAAAATCTATGCATTTTGATTTATGTATGTATATATGTATGCATGTATGTATAAAACTCAAGTTGAATAATTTTAAACCGTCTTATTCGTGTTCACTTCAACAGGCAGTGGAGCGGTTTAAAACTGAAAACCAACATATACAATCTAAAAAATTTCAATAAGGATTAAGAATTTCGGATGTTCAAAAAACTTCTTCTGCTCGAACTTAAAAACGATTTTGCCATCCATTTAATTTTTGCCATACAAATATTTATTTTTTTCAGATTGAAAGTCTTAATTTATGAGTTGCAAATTATCAGCAGGAGGTCTTTTTACAATTAATCAAAAAAATGGATGTCCACCCAAACTCATGTATAAAATGCTGAACATACACCCGGTCTGAGTAAACAATAATGAAATATGGTAGAGTGCAAAACGTAAACATATAATAATAAAAATTTTTCTATCTCTTATATACAATATAATACATATTTTATTCGGGTGAAATGTTAGCGGGTCTTAACTTAAACCGTATATATTTATATAAGTATACATTTATTTTAACTATATAATTCATTAATCTATTCTAGTACCTGCTATTCTACATTTGTGTCTGTTTCGTTCGCATAGCAAAAATAATGAGGAAAACTGGAGAGCGTTCTTTTGGTTAACAAATTTTCTAAATTCTAGTACATATCTGACCACCTCGAATACTTAAATAAAACTTTTCCTTCATCGCATTTATACTCTAAAGCTATTAAATGCTAAGGAGTATGTTAATTCTATTTCCCTATTAGTAGAAACCCAAAATTACACTGCTATTTATACTATGGTGTAAATCAAATTTTCCATAAATAGTAGTTGACTCTTCCTTCCTTAACTATAAAGAAATTGTGGAGTTAATTCCGAAAGAAGCCACAATACTAGTTTCTGGATAGTCAATTTGTTTTCATTTTTGGACGTACATTTGTTATTATTTACGAACATTTATTTGTGCCGCAATCATAATATTCCTGATCAAAATATGGAGAAGTTTTAAATAAAATTGCAGAACTTGTAGTATTTACACATGTATATACTTACTTCGAGATCGCGGAGTCGGATTTAATCCAATCAGATGTTGTATTGCCCTTGTTTTCTTTAGGAACATTTTCAATATCTCTAGGCACTATAACTCCAATCGATGATTCAATTACTCCACTTAATAATTCACTTTTATTCTTAATCTCTGCACAGCTACTAACACAAATGCATTCTAAGAAAACAATTAGAAACACCACAACTATGGGAAGGTTTCTATATTTTGAATTTTCACGTGGGATATATGGAGTTCTATAATTGCATTGCGATTGGAGCATTGATTTTCCACTTTTTTCAAATAACGGCTTTGAGGATCCCTGTAGTAGCTGAAGAACCGTCAATGTACTTATTGAGGAAGATAAACAACTATATCGAGTTGTATATGTGCCAATTGAAGCGTTCTCTTTTAATAAGTGTTTATTTCTAGTCCGTATTTGGCTTTTGTATGATTGTTTTCCTTTTAATTGCATTCTGAACTATTTTATTTTATAGATTATAAACTTTACGAAAATTGGTTCACTACTTTATCAAAACAATGAAAAACTAAAATAACATCAATTGATCCACAACACTTAACGAACAATTTCCAACTGTCAAATTCCATGTCTTTCCATTGCTTTTATCCCTGTCTTCATACCACACAGTTGTATTTGGAATGGCTAGTAATGGATGATTTTCCTTTCCTGAGACTTTTATGATAATTAGTGTTACCATATTGTTGTACTACATGATTAAGCAATTGTAGTACATAAAACCGTTATGATTTTTGGGTTCGATCACTGGATTTTATAATAGAGACTGCCAGTTTTATACTATAGAGTTTTCCATTTACAGGCCTATTCTCACTGTTATCGGTGAAGTAAATTTTACTTTCTTTAACACCCGAAATTAAATTTGGTTTTCTAAAGTACAGGTTACATTGTTTGACAAAACTGTCAAACTGGCGGCATGTCAAATTATATTTGCCAGTTGGTAAAGCAAAAAGAAGAACATGCACATCGAATATATAAATATTTGAGCTTAATTATGGCAAATATGTCTGGACGTCAAAAAAAATGATTGAAAACGATATCTTCCGAATTAAAAAGATAATTTGTTCTCGCAAACTTCTTGACATACGCCAATTTCACTGGTAACAAAATTTACAGGATGACAGTGAACTCAGTATACGAAATAGTAACAAAATTTACTGAATGGTAAATTTTAATACCATAGTAAATTTTATTACCTCGACAGAATAGGTCTGTAGTTAGCCAGCTAATCCAGTAGACGCCACTTTTGAAGTTGTCATTTTTAGGTCTTTAGCAAGTTAAATCTACAACAGTATTAAAAAATATTAACGCTATAGTAAGACATTAAAGCAATAAAATTTCACTATACAAATTTAGTAATTGTAGCTTATTTCCTGGGGAAAAATAAGGGACACTTCCTGTAGAAGCGAGTTTTTTCACTCACTCTTTCGTATGGACTAATTCTGTATGATTACATTATGACAATCTCCTTCGCATCCATTTTCAATTAGGCATATAAGCATTTAAATAAATGAATTGTATTAGGAACTTTTATGTATTTCAAAATATATTGAAATGATGTCTAAAATAAGCTATTTTTCCGGGTTGAGAAAATAGTTTTGAGATGCTTTAAGTAAGCACTCAAGGTAAGGATTACATAAGGAACACTGGACGAGTTCCAAAACGTCAAAATACTTTGTAATGTTGCGGTTGCAACCCTGCATTCGATACATTTTAGTACTTTGCAAACTTTAACATTTTGGAACACTTACCATGCAAATAAGTTGCTTTTCGGTAAAATGATTAAAATATAAAACAGACCAAAAAAAAGTAAGTAAAATAATGTTTAAAAAAATTTTTACAGCAAAAAGTTTGGATTACCGCAGGTCAATTTGTTTTGGTACTTCTGTTCTTACAAAAGAAAAAATTGGCCTTGAGGGCGCGCTTTCCTTTGTTCGTATTAGTGCCTCAAAATTAACCATGAGGTGTCGAATCGGCGCTTGAAAACTTGGGAACGACTGCATCCGGTGAATATTACCCAACATTATCTTAATGAACCAACGTACAACTGAAGGCTTCATAGATGCCTTTCAACGTCGTTCACTCTTCCTTGAGGTTCAAGCTGCTTTATCACTGTTCATCTTATCAGTCATTTGGGACTACAGTGACAAAATTATGTGCATTGTCACTTCTAAAAATTATATCTGATTCAGCTGTTCCACGATTTTTTTTCACGTCAAATTTTGGAAAGACGAAAATCCTCTGCCACCATAATATGTGAAATGTTGGCTAAACCACTTATAGCTAAATTTTTGGAAAACTCCAATAAGTAGAGTACGTAAGGTTCTTGATAATGGATTTTTGGTTCTCGCTCTAAAACATGGTTTACAAGGGAGTTACACTGTGCAAAGCGAAGACGGTGTTGGTCCAAGTAATTTTTTTATTTCAGTGGCAACATTCGTTTTCTATTTTGGTTGGATTTTTGGTTCACGCTCTAAGGCTGCAACTACCCAACGAGCGTACCAGCCGTCCAAAGTAACCTATCTAATGAGAGCGCAAAGTAAACACAAAGTTGTCACCGATTTACCATAGCGTTGCTGACGTTTGTGTCGCAGAAACCAACGAAGTTTTGATTTCGAGCTGCCGTATAAATGATCTACCAAAGGAAAAGCAAAGAGCGATTGTTGAACTATGTTTTATGCTGCAACTACCCAACTCTTTCAGTCTATATTGTGTTTTGTTGCCAGCTCAAAANTGGGTAGTTGCAGCCTTAGGCTGACGACGTCAAGGCGAGATACAGACACGTGTTATCGACGCTGCTGAGAGCGGCGAAATGTTGCCAGTGTATGTGCACACTTTTGAACAAATTCATAGTTTTCGTCAACGAATTTCGTAATTTATATGCTTGTATACAAACGTAAGACAAATATACACCATCTATATGGTAACAAATAATTAGTACGCATTTAGTTTTCATATCTTTTGAAAAAAACTACGCATTTTCTTCGATTATTAAATGTTACTTTAAGAAAGACTATACTGGCAACCTTGTAAAGCAACGAATAATGAGCCAAGCTGGTTTTACGGAACAAATCAAATAGCTGTTGGTTTCTGCGGGACAACTGTCACTAACGGTATGGGCAAGCGGTGACAAATTTGCGCTCTCATTAGATAGGTTACTTTGGACGGCTGGTACGTGAGTTGGGTAGTTGCAGCATAAAACATAGTTCAACAATCGCTCTTTGCTTTTCCTTTGGTAGATCATTTATACGGCAGCTCGAATATTTTCTACCGTTGCCACGTAGCCCTAAACAGTTGTACATTTGAGATTTGTATGTGATTTCATCGACTATCTATCGATAAAAATCTTCCTTTATATTTGTTAGTGCGTCGTAAAATTTATATTTGTTGAAATTACACATGAAAAATTTTAGAATATAATAAAGATTATGTTGCCTAACGATATACGGGTAAGTAAATGTAGGAGTGGAACGAGATTAAATACAGAAGTGTTCTAAATATTGAAACGTGTGTTTAAATAACATTGACTGCAACAAAAGAAGTGTTATAGACATTTTAAGTGGCATAAAGTGTGTAATGCACATACATATGTTCATACATACATACATACTCACATACATACATACTTTTTATCCGCCTAAATTTTAGTTAACAATAAACAAATAAGAAAAAAGTACGATAATCGAGTCAGGCAGTATTTAGCAGGCCGTATTTAGCTTAGTACTAAAAGTAAGCATTAATAATTAAGCTGCCAGTGGTATGATCTTCGACTGACAGTCAATTATGTAATTTAGAAAGCTTATCGAGGCTAGGCGAGAGAAGGATCTGTTGTATCTAAGGTTTTCGTTAATTTCGCACCAGGGACTTGAACGAGTAGGGCTGGTGGAGATTTATAAGTAATTTATGTCGTAAGTTAGTCCTTAAAATTTATTTTGGTATTAGATCATACCATTCAGTAAATTTTGTTACTATTTCGCATTCTGAGCACACTCGCCCTGTAAATTTTGTTACCAGTGAAATAGTAGGTAACAAAAAAAAAGTAATTATAAAACTGTGCAAAAATGATGGGGTTTTTGGCTAAATAGATGTATTTGATGATTATCTTTTCATTAAAAGTGGGGGAAGCTGAATTTTGCAATAGTTTTATTATTATTAACATCTAAAGTTACACTAAAATCACTAGCACACACATTACAAACAAATACATGGCTAAAGCGATGTTGCCATATCTTACTTAAAAAAGAGTAATGAATAGGACAAAGTATGGCGAAAGCGACGTTGCCATACTGTGTAAGAAACTTAAAAAAGAGCAATAAATAAGGCGGAAAAGGTGTGGGTCCTGCATTGATAGTTTTTCGATTTATTGAAACGAATATAAGCGAAAATTCATAACATGAATAAAAAAGAAAATTCATATTGGCTTGCATGTAAAATTACATATAAATTAAACAGTATTTTTAATAAAGACATTTCATTTAAAAATACTGTGCAAGGCGAAGCCGGTGTTGCTCCGGCCCAGGGTTAAAATCCGAAGCGCGGCCGAAGCCCGCCAACTTACAAAGGAGTTTCACTTAAGAGTACTGTGCAAGGCGAAGCCGGTGTTGGTCCGGCACAGGGTTACAAGCCAAAGCGCGGCTGTACCACTCGAAAAAAATTGACGTAAATGAATAGTTTATTTATTATAATAATATGTGAAGGTCATGCGCTTTCGATTTTTTATCTGTATATAAACATGTAAATAATATGAATTTTCGCTTATGCTCGTTTCAGTAAATCGAAAAACAAACTATGCCGGGCCAAACTTGCTCCGCCTTATTTATTGCTCTTTTTAAGTTTCTTACACATTATGGGAACGTCGCTTTCGCCATACTTTGTTTTTTATGGCAACATCGCTTTAGCCATGTATTTGTTTGTCCTTTTAATGAAAAGAAAATCATCTAATACATCTGTTTAGCCAAAAACCCCATCATTTTTGGACAGTTTTAGCAAAAGGCGCTCTCCTGTATAATTACCCAAAAAAACTACTGTTTGGGTTTGTTTTGTAAGTTTGAGAAAAAATAAAAACCAAAATGGTTAGTCATATTTTAGGCCTGGAATTCATTGAAGATGAAGAAAAAAGTGTGAAAAGGCGTATGCTAAGAAGTTTGCGAGAAACAAATGACCCTTTCTATTTGGAAGATAGTGTTTTCATTCAGCATTTTTTTGTCGCTTAAGCATATTTTCCATAATTAGGTTTAAATATTTATGATTTAATAAACAAATTAATAAAACTTTTTAATTTTTTTCCATTTCGATGTAAATATTTTTCTTTTTTACTTTATCAACTGGCAAATGTAATTTGACATGGACGAAAAAAGCAGTACTCCAGTAGAGTAATACCAAATTCAACTTCGGGTGTTAAAGAAAAGTAACGAAATTTATTTTACCGGTAACAGTGAGAATAGGCCTGTAAATGTATCTCATGATATATGTTTTACTAGCTTTATCAAAGATAATATGTTATGAAACTTACTCACTTATCTATTATCTTTGGGCCTCTGTTAGGTTTTGTTGCCAGTACAAACTAAATGTG